TTTTTTTTTTTTTTTGATCTACATAATGTAAGTGTGCTGCGAAAGTTTACCTATAGGTTCAAGTGTGCCCTGAGATTAAGAAAAGGTTGAAAAACGCTTCTCTATCGCAGTGTTTTGGGGTAATTTATTTCATCACTTAAAACAAACCCAAAGTATTATGTAACAAATAAAATACCTGTGGGCCACGTGCAGCCCATAAGCAGACAGTTAACAATTTTTTGTTTTATCAGTCTTTCATTGTCAATGTGGCTTTGCACTGTTTTAATTTTATCATACATTTCAAACCAATGACTGTTAGATCTTTATGGTGTATTTGGCTCATTTACTAATGTAAAATACCCTTCTTTGTCCGTTAGTGATTTTCATTATCTTGAATTTTCTAATATTTTGTACACTAATAGGATTGATATTTGTACATTTCCTTTTTAGAGAAGGTACACCTGGCCTATCTTTTTCAAGCTCTTATTTTCATTCTTCCTATACTATCATAAATGTCCATTTTCTTTTTCTTTTCTTTCTTTTTATTTATTTATTTATTTTTGAGTCAAGAGTCTTGCTCTGTTGCCCTGGCTGGAGTGTAGTGAGTGGCTCCATAACTCACAGCAACCTCAATTCCTAGGCTCAAGTGATCCTCCTGCCTCTGCCTCCCAACTAGCTGGGACTATAGGTATGTACCCCCATACCTAGCTACTTTTTCTATTTTTAGTAGAGACGGGGGTCATACACTATTGTTCTGGCTGGACTTGAACTCCTGACCTTGAGTGATCCTGCCTCCCCATCCCAGAATGCTAGGATTACAGGCCCAGTCTTGAGCTATCACCCTGGGCCCTTGGTAGTTATTTTTAAGTAATGTTCATTAGCCTTTAACTTAAAACCTGAGTAGTCCCCTATGGTTTACTCTTCTTTGACAGTTTCTGGCCACTTTCCCTGATGTGGAGACAACACATCAGGTCATTTTCACCCTAAAAAAGAAAGTGAAATTTGCCCTTGTCTCTAACAAAAGTCACTTCTCTCATTTATTTTCTCCATTTGTTCCCTCTGGGCATTTTGAGTTTGTAAGGCACTAACATAAAACTAGTGAGAAGTTTCTAGTTCTAGTTGATTAGCTTTATGGTACATTATCTTACCTGATAATACAAATGATATTCCAGATATTTCTGGAGTAAAATGTAATATTTGGTAAAACTACTATAATACCAATCATCTGAAACAATAAATTATCTACTAGAAAAATCAATGGAAATACATAGCATTTAATATTTACGCTTAACATATAATTAATATTTAGTATACAAAGTCTTAAAAGAAAATTACCTTTCAAAAGATGATTCAGGTCCATGGTGTCATGTAAGACTTTTTGTTTACATCTGACATCTAAATTGGAATCTAATACTGAAGATGGGGAAGTGAGACTGGGCCCATGTTTTTCTGTCCCTATTTTGGCTGATTTCAAATATTTTGAATTATTTTTTAAATCCTCACCATCTTCATATACTTCTCGATTTACATTTTCTTGCTTTTTAACTCTCATGTTTTGATCATTTGATGCACCCAGTTCAAAAGACTGAACAGGGCTGATGTCTGGGGTTGATAAAGGGGTTACATCTGTCACAGTATCTTCAGATTCCTCAGTGTGGTCACCAAATTTTGGTTTAGGACTTGAAGGCTGTGTTCCTGTTGATTTTACTCCTGATGTGTTTTTATGTTTTGGCGATAAGGGCATTATACCAGATACATGTTTCTTTGATGATGGACGTGAACCCAATATGCATTTATCACATCTAGCATCTGAACAATCTGTACCTGAACTTGAAGATGAGGAAGATAGAGAAGAGGAAGAGGAACTAATTTTGGAATACTTTTTACTAATGTTTTTTTTAAAGTTATTAGCTGACTTGGCCCTCATATGGAGTTTTTTCCCATCATCACTGCTTTCCTCTTCATCTGTATAATCATCATCCTCACCTTCTTTTACAATTTTGGGAATTCTTTTTGGAATGTGGATTTTATGACCCGTTGTAACAACATACAATTTTTTTGATCTTGAAGGAGTTGTCAATGATAAAGAACTGGTTTGTGTGATATTCTCTGCTGGGTGTTCTTCTAGGGAAATTTTTGCTTTTCTTTCATTTCCCTTTTCAGTAAGATAATTTTCCTTTGTTTGTATTCCAATTTTCAGTTGTACATTTTCTATATCTTTATCTATTCTCTCTTTAGGGTCATCTTCTTGCTTGCTAAAAACTGAGTTACTTTCACATTTCTTTGCTTCTTCGAAGTCACTGTCAAAGAAAGAATGGTCCACTTCACCGTCTGATATATCTTCAAATCGATCCATGATGCCAAAAATATACCTGAAAATGAATAAAGTGTAACTATCAGACAAAAGAATAATTTCCAAATACTTTTCATTTTCATATAGTACTTACATAATTTTCCCAAACTGAGAAGTCTGAGTAATATATAATGGGAAACATTACAAAACAAAAGCAAAAATCTCAGTGAAGTGACGATGGGGCTTTGGGGTCATAGTAAGCAGTACCAGTTATCTGAAATATAATTAAGTCTAACAGTAAATTCACACACAAAAAATAATAGATCGTCAAGGGAGGGATATCACCAATATGGGATAGCAAAGTAGAACCCTAAGGAAAGTCTGACTTTTATAAATTAAGAATAAGGATGGAGTTAAAACCTTGGAGGATTGACAAAGCCAGTGCAAATACACATTATTCTAGTGAGAATAGTGCAATGAAGACTGACAAACATCTGTTTTCAGTATTTGCTGTCTTTGTGCTACTCTGTTCCTTCACTGCAGTTAGTAAGGAAGAAGCAGAAAGGAAGAGATATATTAAAAGTAAAAGCTTCCCCTATTATCTTCTTGAAGAGGAACTGCTATGAAATATCTCTATGCCAGAGCCCTTTTAACACAGTGACACATAGCAGAAAGCCAACAGCTGCCAAAATAGAAAACCAAGGCATATTACTTAGATGCAAGGAGTTAAATATTAGAAGAAATGGATAAAAATGGTCAAAGCAGTTGCTTTCTACTAAGGTCCAAGTGCCACTATTTTTGTTATAGACCTTAAATTACGAGCAGACCTATAAATTCATGTATGTTCTACATACAATTAATTCTGCATACAGTTGAAAATAAATTGGAACATAACTATAAAGTTATAGCCTTTAAAAGTATATTTCTATTTCCATTATTATAGTGGTCTAAGCAGCAGTGGCACACTGTCACTGGTAATCCTGTGTTCAGACTTTGATCTCTAGTATAAAAGCGAAAGAATTCTTCACTAAAAAAACCCAGGACTTGGGCGGCACCTGTGGCTCAGTGTGTAGGGCACCAGTCCCATATACCAAGGATGGTGGGTTCGAACCTGGCCCCAGCCAAACTGCAACAAAAAAATAGCTGGGAGTTGTGGCGGCACCTGTAGTCCCAGCTACTCGGGAGGCTGAGGCAAGAGAAGTGCCTAAGCCCAGGAGTTGGAGGTTGATGTGAGCTGTGATGCTACAGCACTCTACCGAGAGTGAGAAAAGTGAGACTCTGTATCTAAAAAAAAAAAAGAAAAAAGAAAAAAAAAAACCCCAGGACTCTCTGGAAGCAGCTAATTCTAGAGGCAAAGAAAAAAAAAGTAAAAAAGAAGGTCCTGGAGCATCTAATTGTTGCAGAAAGCACAATATTCAAATATGTTTGGGGCAGCAGAAAATGAAACAAGGATCTTGTTTAAAGTGGCTTCCGTTACCCAAGCTTGACAATTTAGCACTAAAAAATGAGAAAGAAAAAAGGTACATAAAAATGAAAAAATAATTCTGTGGACAGCTATAAGTCCATAATGATATTCAAAAGTGACAATAAGAGCTGTGCTAAGGCTGGGCACAGTGGCTCACACCTGTAATCCCAGCACTCTGCAAGGCCAAGGCAGGAGGATCCCTTGAGCTTAGGAGTTTGAGACCAGCCTGGGCAAGATCCCATCTCTAATAAAAATAGAAAAAGCTAGCTGAGCGTAGGTGGTGGGTACCTGTAGTCCCAGCCACTCAGGAGGCTGAGGCAAGAGGATTGCTCAAGCCCAAGAGTTTGAAGTTGCTGTGAGCTATAATGCCACAGCACTCCACTAGGGCAACAGAGCAAGACTCTGTCTCAAACAAAAAAAAAAAAGATAAAAAATGTGTGTGTGTGTGTGTGTGTATATGTGTGCTGTATTAAAGAAAGGCATATAGACATATATATCTCCAATAATAATTACATGCTTACTATGTTCATATTACAATACATCAAATCAGGCAGTAAAAGATTTTACATTTTATCATCACTGAATAATTCTGTCTGCTTTTAGGCTTTGAAGAATTTAAGAGATTCTGATATATCAGATTTTATAACAGTTTAACTATTTATAATGTATTTTCAAATGCTTAAAGGAAGGCTGGGCATGGTGGCTCATGCCAGTAATCCCAACAGGAGGTGAAGATGGGTGTTTGAAGTTTGAAGATGGGTGGATTGCTTGAGCTCAGGAGTTTGAGACCGGCCTGAGCAAGAGCAAGAACCTCGTCTCTGAAAATAGGTAGTCTGTGGCGGTAGGCACCTGTAGTATGAGCTATTCAGGAATGAATATCACTAGAGCCCAAGAGTTTGAGGTTCCTGTGAGCTATGATGCCACAGCACCCTATGACAGGAGACAAAGTGAGTGTGAGCTATGATGCCACAGCACCCTATGATAGGAGACAAAGTTCTTTCTCTGTCTCAAAGAAAAAAAAAATTAGTTGGGTATCATAGTGGGCACCTGTAGTCCCAGCTACCGGGAGGCTGAGGCAGAAGGATGGCTCTTTTGAGCCCAAGAGACTGAGGTTTTTGAACTATGATGATGTCATGGCACTCTAGCTTGGGGTGACAAAGTGAGATTCTGTCTCAAAATAAAAAAATAAATAAATACTTAAGGTAATCTAAATGATTAAATCAGTAAATTTAGACTTAGTAAGTTTATAAATAATGTCTGGTTGATTAGGAAGATTTCCTTTGCTGTGTTTGAAGTATTTAAGAAAATCAAGTATAAATTGTGATGTTAAGCAAGTGTGCAAATGGTATACAACGTTTAGGGAAATTTAATATAGCTTATATAAGCTAACTGAAAATTAATCAAAATACACAGGAGTTTTAAAATTCTAATACATATCAATAGATCTTAAAATGTGAGAAACAGAGCAGCACCTGTGGCTCAGTGGGTAGGGCACTGGCCCCAAATACCAAGGATGCTGGGTTCATACCTGGCCCCAGCCAAACTCCAACAACAACAACAAAAATAGCAGGGCACTGTGGTGGGCGCCTGTAGTCCCAGCTACTCGGGAGGCTGAGGCAAGAGAATCATCTAAGCCCAGGAGTAGGAGGTTGCTGTGAGCTGTGATGCCATAGCACTCTACCGAGGGCAATAAAGTGAGACTCTGTCTCAAAAAAAAAGAAGAATTTGAGAAAGAGAATATAAAATATATGCCTAATAGATATTAAAATGCAAGACGTATTACTTTCCATTCACTACTATTTCCTTTACATTTTAAAAATCAGACTGACAGCCTCCTTCCCAAATCCTTAAAACAAAGATACTTAGTAAGGTTTTAGGCATCACATTTATCCATATAGAAATCAAAGCCAATTCTCTCAAGTAATTTATAAAAACTCAAACTTGCCTCTCTTTAATTTTTGGACCATAAAACAATCGATAAACCCTTTGAATCAGTAACTTCACTTCCGAAAATTTATCTTAAGAATATAATACTAGGCCAGGTGAGGTAGTTCACACCTGTAATCCTAGGGTTCTGGGAGGCTGAGGCAGGAGGATCCCTTGAGCTCAGGAGTTTGACATCAGCTTGAGCAAAAGTGAGACATTGTTTCTACTAAAAATAGAAAAAACTAGCCAGGCATGGTGGTACACAGTGACAGAGTAAAATCTGGTCAAAAAAAAACTATATATATATATATATATATACAAAACACTAAAAAGAAGAAATGGTAATTATAACATTATTTATGTAATTATAATACAATTTACTTATAATATTGCAAAACTTGTATAGAGGCTGGGTGCAGTGGCTCACACCTATAATCCTAGTACTGAGGTTGAGGTGGGAGGATCCCTTGAGCTGGGGAGTTCAACAACAGCCTAAGCAAAGTGAGATATCATGTCTACTAAAAATAGGAAAATTTAGCTGGGTGTTGTGGCAGATGTCTGTAATCCCAGCTACTCAGGAGGCTGAGGCAGGAGGAGCACTTGAGCTCAGGAGTTTAAGGTTGCTATGAGCTAGACTGATGCAATAGCACTCTAGCCTGGGCAACAGAGGTGACATTGTCTCAAAAAGAATACAGACTTGGCTCAGTGTCTGTGGCTCAAGAGACTAAGGCACCAGCCACATACACCTGAGCTGGTGGGTTTGAATCCAGCCTGGGCCACAAAACAATGACAAACAATGACCGCTGCAACCAAAACATAGCCAGGCATTGTGGTGGGCGCCTGTAGTCCCAGTTACTTGGGAGGTGGAGGAAAGATAATCACTTGAACTCAAAAGTTGGAGGTTGCTGTGATCTGTGATGCCAAGGCACTCTACTCAGGGCAATAGCTTGAGGCTCTGTCTCAAAAAAAAAAAAAAAAAAAAAAATACAAACTTGAAGCTCACCTGGTAGCAAAAGTATGACTTGGAAACCAAAAACTAGTTATGTTCTTAAGTCATACTGGAATAGGAGGCTAAACTAAGCTGCATTATATTCTATTTGATCAAATGATGTCTTAAATGAAAACATTTACTACTGGGTCTATGATGAGGAATCTAGAATCTAAGTCACAATAAATAGTTTAGAGGACCAACACTGCAATATGCAGAAAGACCATAGACTTCTTTTCTTTCTTTTTTTTTTTTTTGTACGAAAGGTCTTTATTGGCAGGGGAGAGATGCTGCAGAGCAGCACTAAGGAGAGAAAAGAGAAGAGGGGAGAGAAGAGAAAAGAGGAGAGAGAGAGGAGAACAGAGAAGGAGAGAGAGACCGTAGACTTCTTATTTGTGTCTCCAAGGTAGAATCTGCATTAACAGATGGCGTGCATAGGACAGCTGTTCTGAATTGAACATAAGAACTGTCTGAAAATGGAAGGGGCTAAGATTCTGAGCCCGAAGTAACAAGAGCAAGGACTAGGTAACCACTTGCTAGGATGCTGCTTTCCAAGGAGGTGGGTGATCTTTCTCAACCCTCAAGTAGGTCTTAATCCCACAGAATCTATAAGCCAAATGATCACAGATACTTCTTTGAAATCCTTATTTTTCATAGCTAACTGCTTCCTACCTTGCTTGTGAAGGGATCAGAATACGTCACTCCAAAAGACGCCATTTTGGCATAAGTATCATTTTGATTCTCTTGAGCCAAAGCCTAAGGAAGCAAGGCCCTAACTATCTTCAATTCTATGAAGGCTGGGAGAGGTGAGGACACTGCAAAAGAAAAAAGTCTGAAGCTAGCAGATGTTGGTTCATGAAGTTAAGGAAAGACATGTTCTCTATAACATAAAAATCCAAGGTGATGCAGTAAGGGCTAATGAAGAGGCTGCAGCTAGTTATCCAGAAGATGTAGTTAGGAGAATTGCTGAAGGTAGGGCCACTAAACAACAGATCTTCAGTGTAGATTAAACAGCCTTCTACTGGACGATAATGCCATTTACAACTTACATAGATACAAAGAAGTTGTCAATGCCTGGCTTCAAAGGACAGGCTGATTCTCTTGTTGGGGGATAACACAGCTAGTGAGTTAAAGTTAAAACCAAGGCTCGTTTACCGGCTCCGGGCCTGTGGCTCAAGCGGCTAAGGCGCCAGTCACATACACCTAAGGTGGTGGGTTCGAATTCCCGGCCCGGGCCCGCCAAACAACAACGATGGCTGCAACCAAAAAATGGCCAGGCGTTGTGGCTGGTGCCTGTAGTCCCAGCTACTTGGGAGGCTGAGGCAGGAGACTCGCTTGAGCCCAGGAGTTGGAGGTTGCTGTGAGCGTGATGCCATGGCACTCTACCCAGGGGGACAGCTTGAGGCTCCCTATCAAAAAAATCCCCCCAAATCCTACCGCACTTAAAAGTTATGCTAAATTTATCCAACAGTCTCATCGACACTAAGCAATCCTTTTGATAACTTCTACTTCAAAATTAGATTCAATTTACGCTAGAGAATAAATAAGAACATGGTAGCTTAAGAAAGTAGTTAAGATTCTCTTTCTAGCACACTGGAAAAGGATAAAATCCAAGAACAGTTCACCACATGGTGCTTAATCTGGACACCATTCCAGGAGTAACTTGGACATGTATACCTAAAATAAATCTGGAATTTTTTTTAAAGTGTCACTTTTGACACTTTAAAATGTCTTTTTATTGAGTTTATTCAGAAATTACATTTCTGAAGTTAGATGGTAAAACAGGGTCCCCATAAAATAATCCCACGGAGAGCAGGGAAACCTCAGCCCAAATTAAACACAAGTCTTACAGAAACTCCAGGAGCAATTCACGACCCCTTCCCGACCTCAGGAGACAGCAGAAGGTAAATGACAGCCCCTCGGGCCTCAGGTTCGAGTCCACAAAGGTGGGCGGCAGCCGTCACAGCCCTGCAGGTGTCGCCACCACAACTCAACTTAGAGCCTGGCAGGACATCCACGCCACCCAGCACGCATCCCGGGAATAGGACCGACCGTTTCCGCCTCGGCCCCGGACTCCAGCCCGCCGCAGGCTCCGGCGCCTTTGTTGGAGTCACACCCCGCCGAGCAGGAAGGTGACTAGGCGGAGGGCAGGGGGCCCCAGCGGGCTCCCCTCCCTGCGTCCAGCACAGGCTTCGGTTATACCAACCCCGAGTGCTCGCCGCCACCTGGACTCCGGAGGGTGAAACGGATGCCGAACGCGAGGGAAGGTGGCCGGCGCGCCGCGGGCGGGGAAGCAGGAGACACTCGCGCGCAGGTCACCTGGGAACCAAGGCAGCGACTTCAGTACACGGCGCCGGCGGCAGTGGCTGGGGAGCCCGACTTGCGCGCAAGCGCTGACGCGCTCCCGCAGCCCTGCGCGAGAGCGCGCGTGCGCGGCCTGGCCACACGGACTCGAGCTTCCGGAGGCGGAGAGAGCGGAAAAGGAAAGGCCGGGCAGCGTGGTGGGGGCGTCACAGAGCGGGCGGGCGCTGCGGGCGCTTGGGGGAAGCCGGTGGGGACTGGCATCCAGAGACGATCGCCCCAGCCCTCGGTTCCCGGGAGCTGTCGGTGCTTCATTGCCTCTTGGCTCGCTGTTGAAGGCAGTGCGAGCAGGCTTAGCGGTTACCGTAACGAGGAAAGCGCCTTTGACGATCTTGCAGTTCTCTTAAGATGACGATTTTATCTGTATTCTCGGCTACTCGGGGAGGCTGAAGCTGGAGGATCGCTGGAGCCCAGGAGTGTGAGACTAGACGAAGCAACATAGGGAGACTCCGAAGGAAGAAAAAAAATCAAAACAATAATAAAAATGGATGGTGGCTGTGTCTTTGTGATACTTTATATTAGCCAAGTTTGTCGGTGACCAGTTCCAAATTACACCATGTTTTTTTTTTTTTTTTTTAATGTTTGGCGGTGACGAGGGAATGAAGGAAATAAAAGGACTCAAAGACAGAGTGAGAGCTTTAAGAGTGAGCTCAGGGGACCGATCGTCCCCTAACGTGGTGACAGGCGATGGTAATTAATTTTGAGTTTTCTTTTTATTAAATGAACTACTTGTTAAGTTAAACTTATATGTCAGTGTTTTGTTATGTTTCTGTTTTTTAATCGCATGTTTTTTAACTAATCACAAATTTATATTATTTAAATAACTTATAAAATGAAGAATAAGGAACAAAGTCTGAAAATAGGATGTTAAAGTAGATCCTAATCAGCAAGTTTTATGAAAGGCTGTTAGACCCCCCCCTGGAAGTTTGTGGGCAGGCAGGCTGATGTCATGTCATATTGAAAATTAGGGCAAAAATAATATGTTCTACTTATCTTCCTGAGAGACATGTTTTTTCTTGTGTTGTATAGTCTCTAGCATGTCTTGGACCTGTTTAAGCCCTGCCTTTACAAGGTCCCCTCGGCAGTGACCTTTATCTATTAGACTGAGTCTTGTTGGAGGAAAGGTGAAGTTATGGTTGGACAAGTCCTTGTCTGTCACTGTCAGGCTTTTGTTGTTTGTTTAAGAGACTTTTGGTGTTTTCAATATTGTTTTGTGGTCTGACTCTACATATTTTTTTTAGCATTTACTTCTTCAGTCTCAGTTCCTTATGGCTTTCTTACCATAATTTAATTGACCTTTTAAAATAGTATTAATTTTATTAAAATCTAATAGAAATACATCAAAACAATCTTTTCTTACTGTTCATCACCATTTTCCTCCCACACCAATTCAGTTCTGACAACTAACTAGTTAGTTCTGTGGGTCAGGGACTGGTAACTTGTTAAAAAGTCATGTGCCTGTTGGCAAATGAGGTGGATAGTTACCAGTATAAGAAAAATGATCTCTGCAGAGTATATTGAATGCAGTAATTTCCTGCTGTTGAACTATATAAGGTACATACATATTAGAAGTATAATAATGGCACTCCAAAAGTGCCCACCTCCTGATGCCCAGGACATAGGACATTGTTACCTTATATGGCAGACAGGATTTAGCTGATATGATTAAGGATGAAAATGGGAAGATTAGCCTGGATTATCCAGTAGACCCAATAGATCACAAGCAACCTTATGAAAGGAGGGACAAGAAGTTCAAAATCAAGAGTAGGAGCTGTGAGTTCACAAGCAAGAGGTTGCAGCAATGTGAGGAAGAGGCACCCAGCCCAGGAATGCAGGTAGCCTCTTGGAAGCTGAAAACTGAGGAAACAGATTCTCTCCTGAAGCATCAAATAGGAGCTCAAGTTTGCAAATACCTTGCTTTTCCACTTCTGACCTCCAGAACTATAAGACAATAAATTTGTGTTGTTTTAAACTACTAAGTCTGTAGTAATTTGTTATGGCAGCAGTAGCATGCCCAGAGAGTAAACAAGTGTTTATATAAAAGTGCAAGGAAAGTAAGTATGGCTTTAACCTTATCCTATGGGGTCTTAGCAAGGAATTGTCTCTATTTTTGTTCTTCATGATGCATTTTTGTACTTGTTTTAGTTAAGAAAAGTACAGAAAATTAATTCTACGTTCTAAAGAAAGGGTTTTACTTAATTCTGCTTGATAAAATGATGCTGGCACCACTGCTACCCTGTTGTTCTACCTTGGTCCCAGTTGTCCACCCTGTGGTCTAAAGTTTATTTCATACAGTAAAAATATGGTGTAATAAAACTAAAACCAAAGAAAGGACTGGGTCCAGTGCCTTAAGCCAGTGATCCTAGCACACTGTGAGGCTGAGGCCAGAGGATCTCTTGAACTCAGGAGTTGGAGACCAGCCCGAGTAACAGTTCATCTCTACTGAAAATAGAAAAAAAATAGTCAGGTGTGGTGGTGGGTGCGGGTAGTCTCAGCTACTTGGGAGGCTGAGGCAGGAGGATTGCTGGGAGCTAGGCTGATGCTATATGGCACTTCAGCCTGGGTGACAGAGCGACACTATGCCTAAAAACCAAATAACAATAAAAACACCAAAAAAAAAAAAAAAGGGGAAGACAGGAATGTAGTTATTTATTTTGGTGTCATCACCTTGATTGGTAAAGTCACATCTAGTAGGAGACACTCATCTAATTTTTGACGTGTAATGGTTTAAGAGAAGCGCTCCACGAATACCAGTTAATATAAAGACAAAAGATGCATCTGCAGCTTTATTGGAATCAGCAATAAAGCAAATTGGCAAAGCAATTGCCAGTGTTCATGTAGCATACTGTCATCTATCTTCTCAAGCATTATGTGGATATTACCCGCTGGGACTACGATAGAAGAGGCAAACGGGGACTCAAAACATCATTTGGACCACTTTCCTTTGCGTAGGTAATAGCATTTGTACTTAATAATTGGCAAATAATAATAATAATCATACAGAATCCAAGCCTAAGTATGACAGCAGCAGCGTACGCCCCGGCACCAGGCTGACATTTTGTCCTTTCTACAACTAGGCAACAACCGCAGGCTTCCTTACTCCTTCACGTGTGTCTGATTCCCCTACCTGAGGCGCACGGTGGGGAAGGCAAAGTTGTTAAAGAGAAGCTGTTGAAAATGCGGATCAGGAATGGTTGTCTATTTAACCTAAAGAGCAGGTGAAAGCACGTGTCCGTGGTGAGCGGAAAGCGAGAATCAAGGGATCACCTGAGCTCAAGTACGACAGACTTTCTGACACCTGCGGCAAAATTTTCCATTAACAGACTGTTTCCCGGGGGGAGGGGAGCGCGGGAAGTTCTGGTCCCCGGCCGCCCGTGGGGCCCCACCCCTCGCCGTGGGTGGGCTCCGCCCATCTGTCAGTCAGACACCGCGGCCGCTCTCCGCCCCCCGCCCGACCCGCACCTCGGGGCCGCCCCCGCCTCGCGTCAGGCTTTGCCGGTTTCAGTCACAACACGGTCGGGGTACCTGGGCGTGCCCTGGTCGGCGCCGGGCAGCGGTGCTGCGGGGACGCTGAGAGCGGCCCGGCGGCGTCTGTTGGAGCCGTTCCTTCAAGGGCCGCCGGCGAGGGCATGAGCGCGGATTTCCTCTGCCTCCCGAGCGGCGGCGGCGGGAGAGGCGAGGGGAGGAGGCGCCGCGCGGAGGCCACAGTCCAGAGCAGCGCCGGGGGGCAGCAGGGCAGGAGATGTGCCTGTCCTTAGCGGCACAGGAAGCAGTATGCACCCCGATGCCACCCACAATAGCGGCGCCGGCCTCAGCCCCGCGCCGGCCGCGGGCGCCGGCAGTCCTCCTGTCCCGGGCTCCGGAACCGAGCGGCGGCTGGAGTCCCCGGGGGACGCGGAGGCGGCGGCGGCGGCGACGCCGAGGGCCCCAGGCGGCTGTTGCTGGCTGGCGCCAGCGGCCGGCGCAGCTTTGGCCACCGTGGCCCTCTCCTTGCTGGGGCCCGGTTCCTGGGAGTCAGTGGCAGGCGCGGGGCCGGGTACCGTCCTGCTCCGGCTCAGTCTGTACCTGAGTGGCGCGGCGGCCGCCTTCCTCTTGGGAACCCTGTTCGCCCTCGTCTGCCGGAGCCCGCGAGCCCCGCCGCCCGACTTCGCCGCCTCCTGGAGCCGGCTGGCGGCGACCATGGCCACCCGCTGCCCGCCGGGGGTGAGTCTGAATCTCCCAGCTGCCGCGCTAGCCCGCGCGCGGCCTCTGCCCGCCCCCCATCCCCGCTCCTGAGGACCCGTCTGGCCGCGGCGTGTCCTTCCCCCGCCCGCTCCCCTCGGCGCAACTGGGAATCCGAGAGCCTCGGGGCTGGCTGTGCGGGCGGCTCCGGGCGCGAGATTTGCGGCGATACGCATTGTCCGGGCTTTGCAGTTACTCGGCCACCATTCTCAATCTCAGACCTTTGATGTTGCTATGTAGTTGCAGAGTGGTAGGAATAGGACGCAACACTCGGAATCGGTCACCGTACCTGGTTCTTGGGGAGGTTCTTGGTGGGAGGTAACTTTGTAAGCATCTGCAGGTAAGGGAACTTGGTTAGTTCACCCCTCCAACCCCTGAACCTGTGCGTACTTCCTGCCACACCATGCTGCCCCCCACCATGTTGACAAGTAGTAGTGTGGTTTGGGAAAGGGTGCTGGAAAGCTCTGTAGTTTGCTACAAAAGGAAACTCTACGTGCAGTGTGGGAAATCAGAGCTGTGGATAGGGAACACAGGAAAAAACAGAATTTTATTTTTATCTTTAAGACAGAGTCTGGCTTGCCCGGGCTGGAGTACAGTGGCTTCAGCCTAGCTCACAGCAAAATCAAATTCCTGGGCTCAAGCCATCCTCCTGCCTCAGCTTCCCCAGTAGCTGGGACTACAGGGACTTGACATGACTAGCGACTAGTTATTCTATTTTAGTGGAGACCAGGGTCTCACTCTTGCTCAGGCTAGTCTCAAACTCTGAATTCAAGAGATCTTCCTGCCTCGGCCTCCTACACTGTTAGGATTACAGGCCTGAGCCAGTACACCTGGCCAAGAACTGTGTTTTAAGTGGGCTCTTTATGTGCCAACCCCACTACTTTTTCTCCCTCCCGACTTCTTTCTCATACTCCTTTAGCAGGAACTTTACTGTCCTAGCTGGACACTCACTGTTTGACTAAAGGTGACCATCATTAAACTGAAATTGCTAAGCCCTTGGAGACAAGGAAATTGACAGTGGCTCAACCTCTTAAGGATTTTTTGTCAGAGAGAGCATTGTTGTTAGGGTTTGCTTATGATTTGACCTTACTCTTGTAAAAAAAAAAAAAAAGCATCATGTTCCACTAAAATTACTCCTTCCAACCCTGTCGGTTCAGAATGCAGGGCTGAGATAATGGTGGGAGGGTTGTAGGTGAGGCCAGCATCTTCACAGGTAAGGTGGATAAATAATTCAGTATATTAAGGCATAGGCAACTTTTGTTTTCACAAATAATCACCCAAATGAGTAATGCTTACTTCTCTTAAAAATCTTTACTGTCAGGCAGGGTGTGGTGGTTCACACCTGTAATCCTAGCACTCTGGGAGACTGAGGTGGGTGGATTGCCTTAGCTTACAGGTTTGAGACCAGCCTGAGCCAGAGTGAGACCTCGACTCTAAATAATAGCTGGGCGTTGTGGCGGGCACCTGTAGTCCCAGCTACTTGGGAGGCTGAGGCAAGAGAATAGCTTGAGCCCAAGCAGTGGAGGTTGCTGTGAGCTATGATGCCATGGTACTCTACTGAGAGCAAGAAAGCGAGACTCTGTCTCAAAAAAAAAAAAAATCGTTACTGTCTGTTTTTTTGGTCATATTTAATTTAGCAGGAGTTGAGCACATATCTTTAATTTTTGAGACAGAGTGTCACCCTGTCACCCTGGGTAGAGTGCTATGGCATTACGGCTCACAGCAACCTCAGACTCCTGGGCTAAAGCCATCCTCCTGCCTCAGCCTCCTGCCACCACACCTGGCTAGTTTTTCTATTTTTAGTAGAGTCTCACTCTTCTTAGGCTAGTATCCAACTGCCTTCAGGTCCCAGACTGCTAGGATTACAGACAGGTGTGAGCCACCACACCTGGCCTCTGTAGGATGTATTTTTCTTTCTTTCTTTTTTTTTTTTTTTGCAGTTACTTATCAGGACCCTGAGATTTTACTAGTTGGTTTATTGATCTATAAAAGATGTCCCAATACTTGAGTCTGTAAGAAGTTATAATTCATTCAGTCCATATATGTATATATTTTATTTTTTAAGAGATAGTCTCACTTTATCACCCTTGGTAGAGTGCCATGGCATCACACAACTCACAGCAACCTCCAACTCCTGGGCTCAGGCGATTCTTTTGCCTCAGCCTCCCAAGTAGCTGGAACTACAGGTGCCTACCACAACACCCAGCTGTTTTTTTGTTGTTGTTGCAATTTGGCCAGGGCCGGGTTTGAACCCACCACCCTGGGTATATGGGGCCGGCGCCCTACCCACTGAGGCACAGGCGCCACCTTCAGTCCATACTTTTTAAGCATCTTGTATGAGCCAGGCACTAACCTACTGTTCTGGAAACTGGGGTTGAGTCAACAAGACAAGTAACTGTCCTGCTCCTGTGGTGGTGTAGGGAGGAAATAAATAAATGAGATACTTTGGGATATTGATGAATGCTTCTGCAACAAAAGAGATTAAGAATTAAGTGATAGACTAGTAGGTGGTGGAAGAAAGTATAAAGGGTGAGGTCAGGATCAGAATCTTGGTATTGCAGTTAACCTCTGAGGGCCTTGGAAGGCTCATACTGTAGGTTACCACTGTATTTCCTGGAAGATGTATGCCCTTGAATCTCCTAGCTCACTTGCTCCTGGGATAGTTAAAATGGAATTATCTACATTCTAGAAAGATAGTTTGGTAGAGGAAAACTAGAGGAGTTAGAGAAAATAGCACTTCAATGGTAATGGAAGGCTGGGCAAGGTGGCTCATGCCTGTAATCCTAGCAGTCTGGGAGGCACAGGTGGGTGGATTGCCTGAGCTCACAAGCCAGAGGGAGACCTCGTCTCTAAAAATAACCTGGCATTGTGGTGGGAGCCTATAGTTCCAGCTACTGGGGAGGCTGAGGCAAAAGAATCAGTTGAGCCCAAGAGTTTGAGGTTGCTGTGAGCTGTGACACCATGGAACTCTACTGAGGGCAACCAAGTGAACTCTCAAAAAATACAATAAGGGCTAGGCATAGTGGCTCAGGCCTATAATCCTAGCACCCTGGGAGGCCAAGGTGAGTGAATTACCTGAGTTCACGGATTTGAGACCAACATGAGCAAGAGCAGGACCCTGTCTCTAAAAATAGCCGGTCATTGTGGTGGGTGCCTGTAGTCCCAGCTACTCATGAGGCTGAGATAAGAGAATCACTTGAGCCCAAGAGTGATTTTCTCATTTTTTGTCACCCTTGGTAGAGTACAATGGCATCACGCCAGAGTACTCTACCAAGGGTGAGAAAAAATGAGACCCTGTTTCAAATAAATAAAGGCAACGGAGAAAAGAAAGCATGTTATCACTTGTATATTAACTAAAAATTTTAGTAATAGAGGTGAAGTGTAATTAAGGAAAATGATTACTGGTCATTCTTTTGGCACTTCCTATGATAGCTTTAAATAAGAAATAATACATTAGGAAATTGCTTTCTAAGTTCTGTATTTAAGATTGAAATGCATTTTATTCACATACACTTCTTTCTTTGTAGTACTGATTTTTACTCGAGCTTGCAATTATGCTGTATTTTCCTTATTTTTGTGTGTTTTTAATGTTCTCTTTATGAATGAAGGGTGGGAAGCATGAGCATGTGGTGTACTATAAAATATCTACAGTCAGTTTTGTGGGCGTGGGAGCTGGATGACACAGGTCATCTGACATATGTGGAGGGGGAGGCTGTTTAGCAGCGAACAAAATGGAGCTTCTTAGAATAACAGTGACTACTACAGAAATTTGGATTGAACATGAATTCTTATTCTTATACATTTTGAATCCTAGTGTGAGCTACACATGTCAGACACTTGGTTCCATCCATTCTGTTCATCTTTCCTTTTTTTTTTTTTTTTTTATTCCTTCTAGGCTTCTGTAGAGCAAAAAATGCATACACTATTAAAAGTAGGCGACTAGAGAGGCCTAAGTTAAAAAGAGGTCTTTTCATGTCTGGAGGTATATAAGTGCTTCTGAATGCCTCCCCTCTGAGTCAGAAGTTATCAGTTCTAATCTCCCTGTTGTAAGTACTCAGGATTGATACCTTTGCACCAGTAGTAAGAAGCTCAGGAAGTGTTTGCTGAAGATAAGGAAGAAAATTATGTCTGTGGCCACTAAGTGCTTTTCTCCTCCAATCATTCTGGTAGCTATTAGGCATCTTCTGTGTGTGTAGATTTTAATACTACTTGTGTAGAAATCTCTGTTGATTAAAACAGTAAAAATAATTTTTAGCCCTGACAGTAATTTCACTCCAGACATCCAGTGGTATTTTCAGATACTTGAGAAACTTTTGTGTAAGGTCAGAAGGCTGATGCTAACATCTTGGCAGTTGATATCTGGGCCCCACTTTAGAAAAACTTGGACTCTGTTATAAGTCAGCAGACTGGAGCCTGTGATGCTGCGGGACCTGTCTGTGCCTGGTGTGGCCAGTTGTTAGCACAGCTTTGCTGAGTGGGCTGTCATATTGTGGTGTTCCCTGTCCAAGATTGCCCTTTGGCCTTCTGTCAGGCCAGTTCTGTCATCTGAGTCTGAGCTTTAGATTCACTAGCCACAATTACTTGACCCCAGCACATGATCCAACCAAGACAACAGCAGGAGTAAATCAGTAGTTTAGAAAAATTTATTGTCATCATATGACCAGAAATTCAAAGTGCATCTTCTCATAATGGGAAACAAGAAAGTATTTTTTTTCCTTTCTTTTTTCTTTCTTTTTTTTTTTTTTTTTTTTAGAGACAGAGTCTCACTTTGTCGCCCTTGGCAGAGTGCCATGTCGTCACAGCTCACAGCAACCTCCTGCTCTTGGGTTTAGGCGAGTCTCTTGCCTCAGCCTCCCTAGTAGCTGGGACTGCAGTCGCCTGGCTATTTTTTTGTTGTTGTTGTTGCGATTTGGCCAGGGCCAGGTTCAAACTTGCCACTCTCGGTGTCCTACTCACTGAGCCACAGGCGCCACCCAGGAAAA